ATTGTTAGAACATAGCTAGCAGAGTCGCGCAATCAAATTCATTATACGTAAGCGTGCTCAAAATCCCGATAGTGCACGCTGATAGCGTCAGCAAATCCGACTTCGCCAGAAATTTTTTTTTCGCGCGAGCGGCCATTGCTAGTGCGGGGAAAAATAATACATTTCGCGACAATAATGGATACAAACAGAAACTCGGCCTGCTAGTCCGAAAACGAAGACAATGTTTCGACCTTTTCCCATGGGCTAGAGTTCTTAAATGAGGCAGAAAAAGAGAAAAACAAAGGAAAAGGAGACTCGGCATCAGCGCCGTCACGATTCGCTTCAACTGATATTGTTGTCCGTTTTTCGCGTCGCATTTGATGCACAATTCCACCGGCTATGTTCTAAAACAATTGGTTCATGCTTTCAGCTGTGCACTATCGAGTTATGGAGCACGCGGGAAGTTTGGAGAGCACGAAAGAAGCGTAAGAGTTGCCCGAGGCGATAGCCGAGGGCAACTCTAGCTTCTTGAGTGCTCTCCAAACTTCCCACGTGCTCCATAACTCGATAGTGCACAGCTGAAAGCATGAACCAATTGTTTTAGAACATAGCCGGTGGAATTGTGCATCAAATGCGACGCGAAAAACGGACAACAATATCAGTTGAAGCGAATCGTGACGGCGCTGATGCCGAGTCTCCTTTTCCTTTGTTTTTCTCTTTTTCTGCCTCATTTAAGAACTCTAGCCCATGGGAAAAGGTCGAAACATTGTCTTCGTTTTCGGACTAGCAGGCCGAGTTTCTGTTTGTATCCATTATTGTCGCGAAATGTATTATTTTTCCCCGCACTAGCAATGGTCTCTCGCGCGAAAAAAAAAAAAATTCTGGTCAAGTCGGATTTGCTGACGCTATCAGCGTGCACTATCGGGATTTTGAGCACGCTTACGTATAATGAATTTGATTGCGCGACTCTGCTAGCTATGTTCTAACGGCATATATATAGTTTTCTCAGTTGCTAACGTTATCTGTTAGGCTGCTGATAAGACTGTCGTGAAAAATGCTCTCTATTAATGCAAAACGCCTGAAAAAAATAAAGAAAGATCTAATAAAAGTACTTACGTAGGTAGCACTTGGCAGCAACTGTAAGATTTCCAGGTCTGCCACGGGACCGACCTAGCAGCGCTCGCCACACGGAACCAAATGCTCCTCTGCCAATAGGCTCACGAAAGTTCAGGCGGTCAACTGCAATCTCCCATCCATCTGTGTTTGCGATAAGCTGATCCATCTCAACTTCATCTTGTTCTGCACTGAGTAATTGCAGATGAAAACAGGACTTTAACTGTCCTTGTCACCTATCTATCTTTTCTTTCTCTGACTGTCGCTTATTTTTATTCCTTTCTTTTTATTTTTAACAAGAGTCGCATTGTCTTCCTTCGTGATTTCATTGCATTCATTTCCAATTTGTATGTAAACGAATTCATTATTTTTTCATAACAAAAGCCACTTTACAAAACTAGTTTTATTCCGTAACCTGCTGACATAATCCTCTATATTTTCACTTTAAGAAAACGGGTAGTTTAGAAAGGAATCTCTCGGAAAGTTTTGTAACACTCTGTGAAATATTTTATGTATGACGCAAGAGAATTTTTAGCGCTTCGCCTGCCAATGAAAAACACCTTTAAATGAAAATCGGAATAGCTGCTGAGACCGTTTTTGTTAACACAACATTCCAGAAACAGAGATTTGAGAGTTGAACAAAGAATTGAATGAATCTCGAATGAGGAAAACCTCGCGCCAGCTTGGTTTTTTTGCATTTCTGTAAAGCAAGAAATGAAATAATAACCTTCCTTATTACATCGCTTGCAGCGCCCGTGGGTAAGATGAAGGTAATCCTGTGTTCTGACTAGTTACCCGCGTGTGGGCAAGGTGGGCCCATCTTGCCTGCTCGGGATTGGCCGCATTGATCCCGCGCATGAAAAAAAATTGAATTAGAATTACATTCGTAATTCCTGGACATATTTCGGTGATGGAAACGTAAAAAAACGGTAGAAGATGGTCAAAACAAAGAAAACAGAAGCGAATCTCATGAGTTTGATGTGCCACAAACACAGCTGGTTGTCTTTCCCAGCTTTCGTAGTTAACAACTCATTCTTAATTCTTAATAAAGCGAAATCTTTTTGTAATATAATAAATCCTTTATTAACCAAGCTTGTTCCCTCAAAATGGCTGGATATTAGCCTCGCCCTTTTTTTAAATTTTTATGATCCTCGACTTAGTCTCGGTCCATAAAAATGCAAAGAAATAACTCGGCCTTACCCAGCCATCTTGATCTCACGCTTGATTAAAAACCCATATATGTTTATTTAATTTGCCCTGATACCTTTACGCCTGAGATAGGCGAGTTAGAGTTTTTGTTGCGACTCTTAATGCGAATGGTGCGAGTAAAAAGTCCTTTCCGCATATAAATCATCTCATTTTTTAGTTTTAGTTTTGATTGTAGGGTAGACTTTGTCTCGGCCCATAAAAATGCAGAAAACAAACAACAAAAACTCGGGTCCAGCCATCTTGACCTCACACTCGGTTAATTATGCTTACGTATTAAGCATAAAAAGGATCGGCCTATGATCAAATTATCCAGTTGCACTTGAAACAGGTCTATTCAATACTTGGAACGTTGACTATTTCAATTGTAGCTGAAGATGACTCCAAAGGTCTCTTTCTCTTCGAGAGTTGAAAAATTTAGACATAACCATATGCTCAAACAGTAAGGAAAAAAAAATACTTACTTCAGCCTGGCTGGCACCTCATGCAAAGCTATTGTCCAAGGATATGCAAGAAAGGGGGTGAAAATGAACTCCTTGTGAGTATAAACTACATAATTAATGTAGTTAAGCCTTGTGACCCTTTGTCAAATAAGAGGAGATGAGTTGTCACAGCAATAGATTTCATATAATAATTTATAACCTTTTTGTGATTTAAGAGCTTATCCACGAGAAAACCGGGCAGAACCGGGCAGGGGCGATAGACCTCAAATCACCGTTTTGGCTTAAACTTGGCGCAAATGCTAAGTAGCATGAGTTAACAAATGTGTGAAAATAATAGGTCAAAATATTTATTTCCCTGGGAGATATAGGATCCCCCAAGGAAAACCCCTATTTCCTGCATTTTTTGCATAATTATTAAGCTAACTTTGTATTGCTGCAGTGACAAACTGAAAATCCATCGGCAAATTCAATTAACGGGGTTGTATTTTAAATCTATCAGACCTCTGGGAAATTGAATTTTTCTGACTTTTTCATTTCATTTCTTCCCCTACCTCTCGCTTAAGTAAAGACGACTTTTTCTGGTTTTGACAAAGTCCAAAAATAAGGGTATTTTACGGCCCAATATCTCCGGTAAGCAACCACAACTGATCATTATTCTTATGTGGGCAGTGAAAGCCATCTCTGGAATTCCAAAATCAGCAATAATATTTTTGGTCAATTTATTTCATTGCCCATGCTGACGTGAAATTTACATCCACCTCCCGCTTTTTAGTCTATATCATCAAAATTACGTACACCACATTTTTGTTTTATTAACTTAAAATAACTTGAGATTTACAAGAAATTTCCCAGAGAGTACCGTTTAAACATGAACGAGGAGAGAATATCTGAATAGTGCAAGTTGGGCCATTTTTGAGAACTTTTGCAGCCATATTTGGATTATTCTCGAGGAAACGCAGCAGTTGATGATGAACATCAAGAGCACATGTAGTCGAACTTTCTGACAAAAGAAATCTAGGAAGAAACTTGATAGTACATACATGTCTCTGTGGTGCCTCAGTTGCAACTTTTGGCTTGATATCATTTGTCAGATAAGTAGCCATTATGTCAAAAATGTACCACATTCGATTTGCTTCGTTGCCTTTTTGAAATATTAAACGCCGACAGAGCTCTCTGAAAGATCCACCAAAATTATTGGTCTTTTACGGCGTGATACTTATCGACTTACATGATGTGTGCTGGTGGCAAAAAGATAATTTGATGCCCTAAAAGTTGATGTTACTCAAAAGGAAAATCCGCAATCTTTAATCAGATTGCGCCTGCAATTTTGCTTAGCTGTCAACTTTGACATTCGTTTGGCATGTTGTGTTTCTAGTCTACAAAGTTTAGAATATAACAAAGATTTACGGCTACCAAATTATTTGACTTGTTATTTGTTAAGCTTGAGATAGCAGCTGGGACCCTATATCTCCCAGGGAATTAAATATTTTGACCTATTACTTTTACACATTTGTTAACTCATGCTACTTAGCATTTGTGCAAAGTTTGAGCCAAATCGGTAATTTAAGGTTTATTGCCCCCTTTCCCGGTTTTCTCGTAGACACGCTCTTAATGGGCTTGCGGAGAGTGAGAAGTGACCCTCATTATCGGAGATGGAAGTACAGAATGTAACCTGCATAAAACAACTCCTTTGCACTCGCAAAACGTAAGTTATAAAAGGCCACAATTTTCCATATTAAAACGTTTTGTTTTCATTAGGCAAGGCTTCGCTTCTCTTCTAAGTTTCTTTTACCTGTCACATGACGTTTCTTAATGTATGCGTACAGAGCCAGCAGCAGGAAAATGACAACAGCCACAGGTCCAGCAATGTAATACCACTCCAATGAACTTTTGGGAGAGGTTTCTGCATTTTCTCAAATAAAGTAAAGAGAGAGGGTCGTAGGAAACTAATTTAGTTAATAATCAAAGGCTCCTTGGAGCTACCTCATGATATATCTTTATTATTCGTCTATTTTCCAACTAATAAGGGTCTGACTTGAAATCCGGT